TCTCCTCTATCCATCTTCTATCCGCCTCCCACTCTCTCCCTATTTATTTCAGAACCCCCTTCCCCTCCCCCTTTTCTGATGAAGGGTCTAGGCCCGAAACGTCAGCCTCTCTGCTCCTATGATGCTGCTTGGCCTGCTGTGTTCATCTAGCCCTGCACCTTGTTGTCTCGGATTCTCCAGCATCTGCAGTTCCTACTATCTGTGATTTACATATTTCCCCTTTATCGAGATTTTAAGGTTTTAGCACCTATTTACACACTTTGAGCCTCAGGTCCATCAACAATCCCTTTCCTGCTCAACCACCCATTTAAATTTTTAATGGTTTATTCCTGAGTAACAAGACAAACAGATCAGATCATCAACAGAACATTTCCTCATGCATGGTAATACTTGGAGTTATAGCAGAATAAACTCGGGACTATTTCCAGATCTGGGCTTGTTGCTGTGTTAAATAATAACTAACACAAAGAGGTATAAAATGTGGGTTCAGACCAAACACACACATGGTTCAAAATGAAAGGCAAGTTAAAAACAAATGGGCTTGAAACCTTAACTCTGCTTCTCTCTCCACAGATGCTGCCAGACTAGCTGAGTTTTTCCAGCTGTCTCTGATTTTATTTCAGATTTCCAGTCTCTGTAGTATTTCGCTTTTAGGTGAAAAAATCGTGGGCTGGTATCAGGGTTCGCCTGCACTATCCTCATTGATGCTTTTCTGTACATTATTCGAAGTTTCTCTATTCTGGGCGTGTAAAAGCACGCAGTCACTTTTCGTTAGTTTAAGAAAGAAGCGTTAAATTTTACAATGTGAAATTGACCATCCAGACTGTAATAATGTGTCTCTTTGTCAGGGTCTGATGCGATTCCGTGAGGACAGCCCGCTTCTGGAACCGATTCTCAATCAGTTCAGAACTCCTTCAGCATTGACCAGGTGAGGTGACCTGCAGAAGCAGGTCCTGTAGCAAACGCTGCACCGTCTTATGCTCAAAGATTTTTCTGTCACTTGCTGTGTCTGTTTCTGGAAGTATAGGGTAAAAATTCTGAGGAGTGCAGGATTTCAAAGCATCAGTGGGATTGAGATTTTTAAACCCAGTGCTTTAATTTCGGGTAGCATGGTGGCTCAAGAGGTTAACACTGCTGCCTCACAGCGCCAGGGAACTGTGTTCGATTGTACCCTCGTGCAACTGTTATGGAGTTGCACATTCTGTCTGTGTAGGTTTCCTCCCACAGTCCAAAGACTGACCATGCTGAATTGCATATAGCATTTGAGGTAGATTTCGGGGAGACAGAGGTAGGTTCTTTACTCAGAGAGTGGTAGGGGCATGGAATGCATTGCTGGAGAGGGTAGTGGAGTCGGCCTCATTAGGGGCATTTAAGCGGCTATTAGATAGGCATATGGATGATAGTAAAAGGTAGCGGTGGAGGTTAGATAGACCTTAGGTTTCGGGTAAAAGTTCGGCACAACATCGTGGGCTGAAGGGCCTGTACTGTGCTGTACTGTTCTATGTTCTATGTTCTACGTGTAGGTTAGGTGCATTAGCCATGGGAAATGCATGGTTACAGGGATGGGTCTGGGTGGAATGCTCTTCAGAGGGTTGATGTGAACTTGTGTTTCCACACTGTATGAATTATAATCTGTTGTTGCTCCCTGTTGAAAAACACTGTGAGTTTAAGTCATGGAGATGTACAGCAGGGAAACAGACCCTTTGGTCCATGCTGACAAGATATCCTAAATTAACCTAATCCCATTTGGCCCATATCTCTCTAACCCCTTCCAAATACCTTTTAAATGTTGTCATTGTACCAGCCCCCACCACTTCCTCTGGCAGCTTATTCCATACACGCACTCTCCTCTGTGTGAAAAAGTTGCTCCTTAGGTCCCTTTTAAATCTTTCCCCTCTCACCTTAAACCTATACCCTTTAGTTTTGGACTCCCCCACCCCAGGGAAAAGACTTTGGCTATATACCCTATCCATGCCCCTCATGATTTTATAAACTTCTATGAGATCACCTCTCAGCCTCCGACACTCCAGGGAAAATAGCCGCAGCCTAGTTTTACCTGGGAGTTGGGGCAGTTGCTTGATACTGCAGAGCTTTGTGTGATAACATCACAGTTACTACAATACAAAGCTGGAAACATGAAATGGCGACATTTTGATGCTGGCAACGTTGGTAAACCGTGTCTGCCATATTTCAGCGGCAGTAATCTGGATTTAGATATTTATTCACACCACATACTGTTACTACAGTTAAAAACAAACTACTGCCAATGTTGGAAACTGGAAATAAAAACAGAAAGTGCCGGAGAAAGTCAGCAGATCTGGCAGCATCTGTGAAGAGAAACAATTAAGATTTCATGTCCAATGTAAATCTACCGAATTTCTCCAGCTGTTTCTGTTTTAACATACATTACTACAGTCCTGGTTGAACCTGTGCCTTTCTAAGCACAGGGTCTTATTTCTGTACTGGTTTCCAGCTCAGACTGTTCAATTTGCATCATGCTTTATGTTGTTATCTTACAATCCCTACAGTGTGGAATGGGCCATTCAGTCCATTGATTCCACACCAACCCTCTGAACAGCATCAGTCCCAGACCCACCCTCCTACATTATCCATGTAACTCCATATTTCCCATGACTAATCCACCTAGCTTGCACATCTTTGGACTGTGTGAGGAAATCAGAGCACCCAGAGGAAACCCATGCAGACACGGGGAGAATGCACAAACTCCACACAGACAGTCACCCAAAGGTGGAATTGAACCCAGGTCCCTGGCGCTGTGAACCAGCATGCCACTCATGTTCACTTATTTATATTCACCCCATATTCCATAAGAATGGTCAACAAATGGACAGAAAAGTAAATGAACATATGGGCTGTTTTGAAGCCTAGATGCTGTCAGCATTATATGTTTTAGCTCAGAATTTTACACCAGGTCACGTCTTCCTATGTTCTTAGTAAATGTTGAGTTCTTGATAAACCAAATTAAAATTAAATTTGAAATATGAGCACACACTTCAACATTTACAAACCTCTTCATCCTCCTGAAGGTAAATTTTTCCAACTTAGGGCAAGGGACAGGTAGCGTTGAGGAAGGCTGCAGAAGGACTTGGGACAGATTAGGAGAATGGGCAAAGAAGTGCCAGATGAAATACAGTGTAGGAAAGTGTGAGGACATGCACTTTGGTAGGAAGAATAGAGGCTATTTTCTAAATGGGATAAAGCTTCAGAAATCTGAAGCTGAAAGGGACTCAAGAGTCCTAGTTCCTGTTTGTGGGAGTGTGCTGTGTGCCAAATGACTTTCTTACATTGCAACAGTGGCTTCTGTTGAGAAAGCACATCATTGGCTGAACTAGATTTGACACATTGAGTCGTCATAAAAAGTGCTATACAAATGCAGGTTTTTCATTGTTCAACCTCGGGACCCAGAGAGACCATTAGGGTAGGAGCAGCCCTTTTGTGAAGAGTGATGATGTTTGTTGAAGGGAAGTCCTTTTTACAGAGGGCAGAGTGGGAAATGTCTGGGTTTGAAAGACCTCACCTCAGGTACGGGAACCTTTAGAGCACAGCCAGGCCTTGAGAGACCTACATTTAAGTCGGTTTCTGATTTCTACAGGATATGAAGCCTTTTGTAGGACTGAGTTGGAGTGAGTTTGTGATGCCTCTATATTCAAATATATTGGTGACATTTATACACAAACTAGGGGATGAATGACCATGCAGGCAAGGAACAAGTGTATCATGGAATCATATCCTCTCAGTAGTCAGCAGCAGAAAGAGAGAAGTGGATACAATGGTCTTTAATTGTATTTCATTTGCTTCTATCATGCAGAGTTAGTCATGGACTGAATGATGAGTAAGTGGAACAGGATATTAGCCGGGAATGGGAGTAATATCTGCTCTACTGTTTTCCAGCTTTCAGATGTGCTGACTGGAAGAACGCCAAGGATCCTGTCAGACAGCCAGGAGTAACAACTCTTACCACGATGGACAATGAAGTCCACAGTCTCTTTGACAAGTTCCTGCAAGGAAAGACATGTAAAGAGACGTTGAGCCTATTCCACGAGCTCTGCGATCTCCTGCACCTGGATCCTACCGACTATCGCAGTTTCTACCAGAAGCTAAAAGGCAGCCTCAATTACTGGAAGGCCAAGGCTCTGTGGGTTAAGCTCGATAAGCGAGCATCGCATCCAAATTATGAACAAGGCCAGGCTTGTGCTAATACAAAGGCAAGTGTCATCCTACATCATGAATGCAAAATATATGCTGTTTGAACACTCAGCAATCATTGTGCCATAGCACAGATTCAGCCTTTGAATTTAATCTGCTTTTCAATAAATCAGCACTGCAATTTTGTTTTAATTTCCTCTTGCGTTCCCAAAATCCAGTCTCTTGCTGCAGTTCTGGGGAATTCAGTTCCTCTGACATTGTCAACTTACAGGTATGGAATTAGATTTTGAAATAGGATATTGGAACTACACCATAGCTTCTCGTTTTATCATTAGTTACACCTTTTACATTGACCTCTTACATTTTACGTTGTTCTTCTAGAAATTGATCATAAACTTTTCCCATTAACTACTCTGGTACAGCAGTTTTATCTCTGCCAGTTCTTTCCCTTGCCCTCTCTTTCTCTGCCTCACTATTTAGCAATTTTCCTCACATGGATTTATTCTCTGCAGTCTGGTGCCTGCCTCTTCTCCCTCACAAGCCTTATGTCTGAGCTCCACCCACCCTTGCCACTTCCATTCCCACTTCCTGTTTTCTTATCTGTGACAATTTTATTTTCTACCTAAGATGCTGCAAATATTCATTTGATGGTGCAAAACTTGAGTATTGCAGAAAAAGGGCACATTTTGTCCTGCATTCATCAGGACACTTTGCAAGAACACCAATTTAAAGGGAAAACTAACATTTATATTGAATGAGAGGGGAAGGCTAAGTGATTGGCACCTGGACTCTTGATTGTAAAGGCATTGCCATGGAGAATGCACTAGTTAGATGATGACTGATAGCTTTGCTACATTTAAACCAGGCAGATTGACTGTCATTGGTTAAGGTGTTGCCCTGAGGAGTAAACCAGAGAATGGCTGTTGCCTGCTTTAAGTGGAAATGTGTGTGTGTACATGTTCTTTCTGTCTGTCTGCAAAGAACAATGTCCTTTGTATTAATATCCATAGCTTCCAGGACATGCAAGTGGACAATGCTGCGAGCCGACTGGCAATCCTAAGTTGCTTGTCAGTGGAATTCTTTGCGAGATAAGTGTGTTTTTCAGTAATGCAGCAAACAGTTTCATTTCCAGTGGGGCTACTGCAGCAACTGCATCAAACCTTTTGCACTCATCTGCAATGTTAACAGTTTTCTAGGGGACACCGGAGAAAGAAGCTGGGCTCCTCCTTCAATTTGATAAACATTTCTCTTTTTCTCTGATCCATTTAATCATTTCATCAGCAGCTTCTCTTACTTCTTAATTGCAGCAAGTATAGAAACTAGAATGAGCCTCTGTCTGCAGTTTTAACCTCAAACATTTCAATTGTGCCTGACAAAATGCTTTCAGATTAGAGAGTTTAAAAGGAACACTTTCCCTTACTTTAAGTTTTCTCAGATTGTTTAAAATTTATTTATAGCCATAACTTATTAATACTAAAGCTATTAATAGTTGTGGCCCCATCTCCTTGAGATGCTGTTTTGTATTTTTTATCATTGCTTGATACAACTGAATGGATTGCTAGGTCACTTGAAAGCATGGCCTCAGAGATGGGGTTACTACTGCGCAAGATCAGACCCTTCATTCATGTTCCCATTGACCTGTGTGTTAGTGGGTTTGCCCCAATGTTACCGGGGATTCTTGATGATATACAAGGGTAGGGCTTGCATCCTGACAGACCCTTCATCTGTCATTGGCACCTACCAGTGGCTATTTAGACACTTAAGATGCAAATAACGACAACTGCTTTGCTCCACACTAGCAAATGAGATGGGTCTGGTTTGCACAGACTGGAATGGACCTGGCTTGAATTAGGTCCGGCCAGGCCTAAAGTCAAATGTTGTCACGGTGATGACTGTAAGAAGTAAGATAAAGATAGGAACAGGAGTAGGCCTTATGGCTCTGTGCGCCACTTCCATCATTCAATGTGACCATGGCAGATCTTCCCTATCAATACCATTTCCCCTCCTTACCCCCCATGATGAGTGCAGAAATGTTAGAGCAGTCTTTATTGGATGACATCACACTGCTCTCTCACAGATTATCATTCCAGCCTTGTGCCAGCAGTGCAGACAGCGAGCAGTATGCCCACTCTGTCTTGAGTTCTTCTGCTGGTTGTGTCTAACCAAGCTCTGTAAGAAATGAAGGATCCTTTACGAAATCCTGCATCCTGTATCATTTCCCTTATTGTGTTTCAGTGGTCTCTCATATTACAGCACTTGGTGCTGCCATCAGTCATTTACTTTCACTTACTGTTTCTATAAATGGGAGATATCAGGTGTAGAAACACCTTGGACAATTTCTGTTAAGAGAGTGAAACTAGTGGCTGTGGATTGGCACGGGCCCCGCACTGCTTTAGAAACAGCCTTTTGTTTCTCCTTTGGAGGTTGTAATGGTATTCTGGTGGGTTTTCTGACCTTGGGATTGTTGTTCTTGCAGTCTCTGGTCCTGGGTGCTGGCCCCTGCGGCCTCCGCACTGCCATCGAACTCGCCTTTCTCGGTGCCAAAGTCATTGTTGTGGAGAAGAGAGAGAGCTTTTCACGGAACAATGTTCTCCACCTCTGGCCGTTCACCATCCATGACCTGCGAGCTCTTGGAGCCAAGAAATTCTATGGAAAATTCTGTTCCGGTTCCCTCGACCACATCAGTAAGTTTATAGAGACAGAGTGAGTGGTAGGAAAAAGAGGAACATAGGGGGTCTATAAGAATGCAAAATGTTTCCCTATCATTACCTCAAGTTGTCTCAAATCTCTGTGTGACTTTAGAGCATTATTATAAAAGTAACAGGACAATGCTCCTGAATTTGATATACTGTGCACAAGTACTTTTACTGTAATATATTGGGCTCCCTGTATATTTGGAAATACCACATTAATTCTGTAGAGAGTTACTGCCTGTAGCTTATCTTCCTCATTATTGAAAACCTTCCAGTGATTAACTCCAGTGGGTAACCAATTTTCCGATCTTTACTGTACCAGGCATCCGGCAATTGCAGCTAATTCTGCTGAAGGTGGCCCTCATCCTGGGTGTGGAAGTTCATGTCAATGTGGAATACAAAGGATTCATAAAGCCTCTGAAAGATCAGAAAGAGAAAGGTACAGACGTGGTGTGAAACCGAGGGAGCTTGCTGCATGACTCCGGTGATGTGAGTCTGTGCAGTGGGCATCATTAACCCATGACACTGCCCACTGATCACAGAGCCCATTCATTGTGCATGGATGGCAGAGGGCAAGAATTCAATACCCCATTGTAAATTAACCCATGATTGCTGGGGGGTGGAGGAAAAAGACACCTGTGTGGAAAAACACATAAAAAGGGTGATAACAATTCATAATTGGTAGAATGGAGGGAATATGAAAGGGTTGGGGAATTGTACACACACAGGAAGTAATCTATGTGCATTAGTTATTTTATTGCATACCATCTGGGTTCTCTGTCTGTACTGGATCCATTTCAAAACACAGTCCTTGGCATTCTCTGTCTGTACTGGATCCGTTATAAGACACGGTCCTTGGCATTCTCGGTCTGTACTGGATCCTTTATAACACACAGTCCTTGGCGTTCTCTGTCTGCACTTGATCCATTATAAAACACAGTCCTTAGCGTTCAGTTTGTAAATCTCTGTCTCTGTTTTACAGCGATTGGGTGGCGAGCTGATCTTTTGCCAACTGGCCATCCAGTGACTAAGTATGAGTTTGATGTCTTTGTCTCAGCTGGTGGAGGCAAATACGTCCCTGAAGGTAAGACCATGTAATAGGATCGGTCACATCATTAAAAAAATTGAATTGCTGACTTGACATTAATCTTGCGTACATTTCCAAAAATTTGCATGTCTAAGACCTTGAAAAAATAAAGAAGAATTGGTCAAGGAGCAAACATGGAACAAGAGGCAGTTTGACTGTAATTGCTGAGTTCCCTGAACAAACGCATTTAGGACAAAAAAGGAACTTCAATTTATATGGAACTTCTCATAACCTCAGAGTATCCCACTTGACAACCAGTGATGAAATCACTGTTGCAAAAAAAGGGCATTCATTTCATACAGGAGGCTGAATATCTGTAATTTACGTTTAAAATCGAGAAGGAAAGGTCAAATTGAAAGTTGTATCTTTGTTTGTAGCGATCTACCTTGGGACAAGTTCTGTTTATCGCTCTGCTCTTTATAACCCTGTGCTTTTTACTCACCAGCAAGTGTTTCCCATCTCCAATTGGGATGAGAAATATGGCTGGGGAAAGGGATGCATGAAGCGGTATCCTATTGGCTGTTTTATGTGTGCAGAAAGGAAACGCTGAGCCCTTTTCCTGAAGGATCCTCTACCTGGAAAGAGAAGTCCCTTAAGATTCTAGCCCTTTAATCAACACCATAGAGAATTGTCCTGCAATTGGCCATAGTTTATAATCCTGAGCTTGGGACTGTTTCCTGGCTCTGGGCGATAGCACAAATGGAGGGATGGCCACCTTAGATCTGGAATGTCAGTGCCAGCCTTTGTGCTTAGACCACAGCTGGAGATGGTGGTGCATTGGTAATGTCATTATACTGGTAATCCAAGAACCGCAGGCTGGGGAAATGGATTCAAATCTCCATCAGATGGGAGATGGTGAAATTTGAATTCAATAAAAAAATTTTGGATTTTAAAACACCAAGCTAGCCTAGCAGTAACCCTCGTCAAAACCCTTAATGTCCTTTAGTGTAATAAATGGCTTAGCAATGTTCACATCATAAGAATGAATTAATAAAACGCAGTAATGAGCTAAAACCATGGGCCCATTGTTAACTGTTCACAGCACAATGATGCCAATACATTTTTTAAAAAATTCTCAACACTGACTGGTTGCTCTTTAGCAGAATATATAAGATGCTTCATAGGCACCTGGTCATCCATGTGCGATACCACAAAATCTGCAGTTTTATTGAAGTTAGAGATGCTCAAATGAAATAGGGGGACAAATGGACCTGCATGTGTTCAGTATGAATCTGCTGAAGCATTGATGTGTGACGGCTTTAGTGAGACTGTTGGATAGGAAATGACACACAAGCCACCCTTTCACCATGATTGAGGAAGTAGTACTTGATAAACCTTGCAAAGTATGGTGCAACTTGTTCAGTTGTTGGATGAGCAATGTGAGTTTGTAAAGGGGCAAGACGGTCCATGCATTCTGCTTGTATGAAAGAGGATTTGTATTTTGAGTGCTGCAGTGATACACATTCCAAGATGAAATAGTTTTGTTTGTTGTGATTCTCCAAGCAGAGACACATGTAGAAAAGGTACTCTGGAAGATTCGTCAGCTCCTGTTGAGCCCAATGAGAGAACAAACAGAGTCAAGGAATAGAAGGTGGCACTGGGTGTGAGATGTTGGACCTTCATAATCACCCAGGTCACTTGAACACAGCACCCCTGTTACTATCAGGCATTGAGACTGTCAGACCTACAGTAGACCTGGTAGTTAACAGTACTTCCTGGGCATTCTCTATGCATTCTGTTTCCATGCACACTCAATCTTACCTGCTTACAAGTTGTAATACACATTCAGTCCCTGAGTCAGGAGCTGGAATCCTGACTGAGATACTTCTGCTGCTGAGGTCAGTCAACTCTGTATAGGCTGAGGGTTTAAAAGTAAGATCTTGCATTGCTGTCGCTCTGTTCATGACCTTGGGTTATCCTGATGCACTTTACAGCTAATGAGTGTTTTTGAAATGTTGTGTTAAGTGAGATCCATTAGTGAAACAGTGGATAACAAGCTTCCATGCATTAAAGAACAGATATTCTCTTTCAGTGCTGTTGAGAGAGACATTTTAGCCTTGAGAAAACATTCAAGACCACCTTGAAATAGTGCCATATGATCTGTTAGACCCACCAGCTTAGTCTGGACTGAGACTAGAGCCCATAGTCTCCTGACAGAGGCACAACGAGAATGGGCCCAACTCGGTTGGCATTGGGTTTCATAGGAACAGTGGATGTGTACTGTAACCCACTATGGGTTGTCAGCATTGTTATTCATTCTGCCTTCGTCGTTCCACATTTGAAACAACAGCTCAGCCCATCAGACTGTCTTACCAATTCTCAGTGAGTTCTGTCTGTGAAACTTGTAGGGTTCAAGAAGAAGGAAATGCGAGGGAAACTGGCGATTGGGATCACAGCTAACTTTGTCAACCACAACACCACAGCAGAGGCCAAGGTGGAGGAAATCAGTGGAGTCGCTTATCTCTACAACCAGAAATTCTTCCAGCAGCTTCGCAAGGACACAGGTCAGGAACTATACCCCACAAGGCAGCTCACTTGCACTGCACCCAACCACTAATGGCTCTGGGGAATTAAACCTATTTCTCTCTCACAGCAGCTGTGCTGACCATGTTGAGATTTCGGTTTTGTGCCTTAGGGTGTTTCATGCCACAGCTTAAAGGATTAACTTTCAACCCCCAGGTTGGGTAGACAAGGCTCCTGTTCCCTTGAACATAGAAAATTGATGAATGAATGATTGCAGCATTTAAGCTGATTTAGCAAGCAGTTAGAGAGAAGTTACTTTTTGTGGACAGTTTCCAGTACAAGGCACTTAGTTTTAAAATTAGAGTTGGGCTGCTCATGGGTGATGACAGGAAATACTTCTTTACACAAATGGCAGTGAAAATCAGAAACCTTCCACCCCTTGCAAAGCTGTTGAGCCTGAGTATTTTGAAAGTGGAGTTTGATAGATTTTTGTCAGGCAAGCGAATCAAGGGTTTTTGAATCAAAGCAGTTAGGCAGAGGTCAGTCAGCTATGATATAATTGAATAGTGGAATAGGTTTGAGGACTGAATGGCCTCCTGTTCCTACTTGCCTGTGGTGATTCTCAGTTCAATTGCCTGGCTTCTCTCAGGGATTCTCACTGCCTGGTACCACAGTGATCACTCAAGTACATCTCTGTCAAAGGTATCCTTCATGTATATACCTATCTCCCCAACTTGCACTCTGCTCCAGTAACCTTCTGCAAACTGATTCCTCAGCATGTGACAGCGCTGAATCATCCAGTCTTGGGTTATCATTAGACACAAAGCAGTGTGTGGGTGATCTTTCCTGACAGGAAAGGAAGCTGGTGATGCTAGATTTTCAACTTCAGCTTCTAAGCAGAGAATTGTTACTGGAACTGGAGGGTTTGAGTTATAAGGGGAGGCTGGATAGACTGGGACTTGGGGGTGACCTTATAGAGGTTTACAAAATCATGAGCGGCATGGATAAGGTAAACAGCAAAGGTCTTTATACTAGGGTAGGGCAGTTCAAAACTAGAAAGCATAATTTTGTGAGGAGAGGGAAAGATTTAAAAGGGCTCTGAAGGGCAACGTTTTCATGGAGAGGGTAGTCCGTATATGGAACAAGCTGCTGGAGGAAGTGGTAGATGCAGGTAGAGTTACAATATTGAAATGATTGGACAGGTATATGAATAAGGAAGGTCTAGAGGGATATGGGTCAGAAACAGACAAATGGGACTTGATCAGTTTGAGAAAGTATGGATGAGTTGGACCAAAGGGTCCATTTCTATGTTGTATGACTCTATGAAAGGAGACTTTGGGTTTGAATTAGCGTCAGCTGCTACCAAACCCTTCCAACACCTCGACTGTCCAACATGTGGCACCCGCTCTTCCTAACCATCCCCACCCACAAATAGAACACCCAACCGTTTCCCATCCAACGCACCTTCTGTCCCATGCCATACCTGCCCTTCCTTCCCAAAATGCGACACCCACCACTCACTCCAAACATGATACCTATCCCCCCGTTGCCTATTTTAAATGTCCCACACACTCACCCCTCACACTCCCCAACATGACATCACCCCTTTCCCCCACCACAACACAGCTCCCTTTCCCTCGCTCCCCCATTAAATACCCACCCTCTCCCTACCTGCCTGCCCTCTGAACATTCATCACCATTCCTCATCCTCATAAACCTCAAGACCCCTCGAACATCGCCAGCCGGTACCCTGACGGATTAAGCTCTCGCCTTTGCTTGGCACCTGGTACATTGGTAAATCCATCCCATTCCATCTGCTGCTGATATTTTAGATGGTTACAACAGTCTCTGAGACCCAGAGGCTGGGTGTGGAGGGTAGGGAGAACTTGTTGTTACTCATGGGTCTCAGATACATAGCAAAAGTGAGCTTGGGAATTATGACAGAAACAAACTGGAATTCTACAGTCTGCCCACTCCAGTTCTTCTGTAATCTAAAGGAGCGATTGAGGGGGTATGGGGAAAGTGAATGCCTCAAAGCTGTGAGTAATGGAACTAATAGAAAACTGTTTCCCTCTGGCAAGTGCTGGGCTGAGTAGGAGAGGCTTACCCATTGACAACGCTTGGACACATTCTCCATGTGAGAGCCGAGAATGTGAATTTCGCATCCGTGTACTCGACCAAAAACTGCAGCACCGTCTTCCAAACTTAACTGTTTTTAGACTGAAATATGCGAGCAATTCAAATTGAGCTTGCCCCTGCTCACATCTAACTAGCGTGCACCATGAGCGGTTTTTAAATTACCTCCATTCACCTTCAGGGATTGACTTGGAAAACATCGTTTACTACAAGGATGACACTCATTACTTTGTGATGACTGCAAGGAAACAGAGTCTGCTGAAGTACGGAGTCATTGATCAAGTGAGGCCCATTTATTTTCATGTGTGTTTTGCGTTGAGGGTCTGCACGTGTTACAAAAGTTGTGAGTATCTCACTGTAAGATGATAATACAGGAGCTGATGATTCTTTCAGCCAGCAGTGTCAATTGGTGATGGCAAATTGCCTGCTTATTTCTACCTTGCCCTAACAAAGTCAGTGTGCTATGCTGCTGTTGCCTATTTGAGTTGTTGCCTGAGAACAATCGTTTTGTGATGCTGCAGACTCTGTACCTATCTCAATGTACACAGCCATACCTTGGCACTGAGAACACGCTGAGTTATTTGACCCCAGGGTCCACTATCGGCCGTATCCATTTCATCCTCACCTAAATAAAAACCCAAAGAACTGTGGATGCTGTAAATCAGGAACAAAAACAAAGTTGCTGGAAAAGCTCAGCAGGTCTGGCAGCATCTGTGGAGGAGAAAACAGAGTTAACGTTTCGGGTCCGGTGACCCTTCCGGTGTTTTTTAATCTGCTTGTTAAAGTAAAGGTCTTACATATGAATTGTTGTTGTGTCACGCTTTCAGCCATCAAGTCTTTATGGAGATTGTAACACTTGATGTACTTGAGAGGTTGAGACAGCAGGATTGAATAAAATTTCAACATTTCAAATGCATAACAATTGAAATATTTTTAATGCAAGGAACTTGTCTAAAGACTACAGCTCCTGCTTCACATTACATTTCCTGAATCATTAGCTCATTTCCTTTATCTAGGAATGTTTAATGGTAATCAGTACCAAAATTAAGAGAAGAAATATACTTAACAGTGAATTTTATATGCACAACAAGAAACAATTTAAGTGGAAATCAGTATAGTACTGCAAGAATAATGCCAGCAAAATTTTAAGCAATAATTTCAGATAATGTTAGCATAAAGATCAACAAATTTAGCATTTGATTTTGCAGATAAGTGTGGTGATATGTGTTAAAATGTTTGCGCAAACAATCAAAATGAGAGAAATCTTTTTGAAAAAAATGTTATAATTGCTCCAGAGATAGTAGGAACTGCAGATGCTGGAGAATCTGCGATAA